AACAATAGAAGTTCAACGATGAAAATTTCAATTATCAGATATGGTAAACGGAGGAAATTAAATCTTCATAGAGTAAAAAACAAATTCCCCCACAAAATAGAGCGAAAAAACCCCCGTAAAAGCCCGGGGAGTGATCATGTGGGAGGATTCACCTTCAAGGCCTAACATTGTATCAATCGCATCTGCTAGAAAATGACAGGATGGTAATGAGAAACCCTTTAAAACTAGGGAGGCCAAGCCCCGAGACACTCTTCAGGTCACTTTTTTATCTAGGGGGAAAAATTTTCTGCACACTAAAGCACCTTTCAAGGGAGGTGAAATTTCCGACCTGAAAAGTACAGAAAATTTCACGGCCGCAAACGGAGATAAACCCTCAATTACTGGGAGCGCTTGAGGTTCCTAAACCTGTATTTCCCCGGGAAAGCGGGGGGAGAGATACATGATTTATACACCGGAAAAACCCAAGGGACTGTCCGAACTTGCACACGAAATCATCACTACGAAAGCAAAAGACTTGGCAGACATGCACCATTCCCCAATGAAAAGCGGGGGGTCACTACACGTTAAGGACCATACAATAAGTGTCGGGGCCCGAGCTGTTCAATGCCCCCACACACATAAGGGGGATTACCAACAGACCCCCGGGAGTCCAAAAACTGGCACTGGGCAAGCACCTAAATCAGTTCTGACACCGGCTGTGGCCGTACTTTGGGTTTGGTGCAGCCCCCAACAGCCTGTTTATCGGGTCTGATCCACTGGAGGCCTGGCACAGACCGGGCCGCGGGGCTTTTAACCCCCCAATCTCTCCAGGGAAACTCCAGGAACTTATTAAAAACCCCATAGCAGAACTAAAAGAATACTCACTTTTTCCGGGGGTTCATTTTAAAACTCACCCAAAGACCAATGTACAATTACTGCACCGTTATTGCCTTATTAATCTTAAGAATAAGATTCTATTGTTTTCCCCTGAGAATATGGATATATAGTTTTCACATATTTAGCTGATGTTGAGATATGTTAGGGAGAGAAGGTGTTTTTTAACAGTAGTTTTGAAAATGCTGACTGAGACTGTGTCTCTGGAGGTTTCCGACAGAAAGTTCTAGATTTTGGGCCCTTTTATGTACATTGAATTTGTAGAAAGATTTAGCCCAGTACCACCTCTATCTGGGAAGATACTGGCACCAGCTCTGCCTGGGATACTAGTACCAGCTCTGTCTGGGATGATACCAGCACCAGCTCTACCCGGGATGATACCAACACCAGCTCTTCCTGGGATGATACCAACACCAGCCCTGTCTTTACAGGTCGGAGCTGTTCACCATAAGTTGAAGGCCTATCGACTACACGAGGCTGTATGTAAACTGATAGCTATATTGTAGCCCCTACTCTTAAACGAAGTCACTGTATTACTGGTTTTGAACAATCGGATGTTTAACTGTGACTCTGGTAAGATTCAGAGATTATGGGACTTTGTATTGTACCGTCCTTTAGGTGTTTCGTACATAATGATTGACACTAGATGACAGTCTAACCTACACACCTCTCAGGGTACATGCAGTAACTATTATTTTTATAATTAAAGTTAAGCTGAAGATGTAATATGTGAAGATCAGAGAGCAGGGTTAAAGTACGCAAGAGGCAGAGTCAGTAGGGGTAGTGGGGAACGCTAGAGGGAAAATATAATCAGAGTAGGTGTAATAAAGCTGTAACTGACAAAAAGTCAAAGAGGAAGTCTGTGTCAAAGGTCGGACATACAGTAACTCTATGGAAATTATGATGCAGCTAAGCTACTGTAATCCCTCGATAACAGTAGGTGTATATACACAAAGATGAACTCATCTCAGTGTGGAGAATAAGACACAAACACCACTTGGGTATCTTTATCGTCGAAACATTTCGCCTGCACAACAGGCTTCTTCAGTTGAATACAGTAGAATGTAACACAGTGGACAGTAGAAGTGGTTCTGACGTGATCAGTCGTCAGCCTTGGAAGGAGGTGGTCAGTCCCTCAAGCCCAAAGCACAGACATGCGACCAGACCTTATATACAGAGCTGAAGTGAGGTGAAGCACCTGGAGTTGACGTCACAGGCTAGACATGGTTCATTATTTTCGAATTTTATATAGTCTTTTAGTCTAATTGTGGGGAATTTTTAACTTATTTATTATTAATATAATTCAAAGAAACTGCTACAATATTTAAATGATAAAAATTGTGTTCAACTAAGATGTCAAAGTATTTTTAATGAACAAAGCAGCACATCGCCCGTAAACAAACTCTTTGGAAAATATTTTTTTTCCCATATGCGTGTATGATCTCGTCCACAGGATGGGTGTGGCCTGCATAATGATGTCAAGCAAGGTAACTTAGGTTGTATGACAGGAACCCGTAGAGTTCTCCAGGTTTTGCAGCCATATCTTTCAAATGGGATCTAATGATGTTATTGAAAAGTTGTTGTTCCAAGGAACTGGAACTGCACTTCTTTGGATCCAATCTTGTTTTCCATTCTTCACTGAACACACAGGTCTCTCATTTGGTAACTGGGCACCATACGAGACCTCGCCAGAGATTACCACAAAACCAAGTCCTCCCGAGTTCAGCTGCTGTAACCTTAAAGGTCTTGAGCCTTGAAGCTTGAGCTGGATCATGCTCGTTAAGGATTTCCAGGCTCGTTACTAGCACCAAGCACTGAGTGGTCCTCATCCACCTACCAAGTACGGCAGAGTGGAACCTGACCTGCCTCTCTTCAAACACAGCTGAGGCCTCATTCAAGGAAGGCCGTATCTTAACATGAAAATGGCAGAGGAAGCCTCATTAACTAGTTAAGGTTATCCTCCCTCCCATCTGTTGTAACGACCGTAGAATAATTCGAGGTGCCAGGCAGTGGTAGACCTACATTTTTTTGGGCCCCTGAAGCTTCAACTGTTATGTGGGCCCCTTCGCAACCAGCAGAGTGGGCTGGGTAACCACTGTTATCTTCTTCAATAGAGTTGCTCCATGAGAGATCACCACAAATTTAAAAAAAAAAATTTAACCTCAGAGTAGACCCAAATTTTAAAAGAATGTGGATTACAGTAGCTTCTGGGGCCCCTCAAGCTTAGGCTTCATTTGTTTGATAGTAGATCCGCCCCTGGTATGAGTACCACACCTGAGGGAGGTAGTCGGTACAGCTAACATCATCAGAGGTTCACAATAATACTGACAATACTCGTAACAACTTTTCTTCCAAATAAAAACATTTTATCAGCATCTTAATATGTTCAACATCTTCCAGGTGCTGACTTTCAGTTTTCTTGGATTTTACAAACACTGAGAATAACTTTTCCTTGTAATCACTATTATAATCAAGGGGGAAGCGCTAAACCCGCAAGAAGCGCTAAAGCTGTGGAGGGATGTGGAAGGCATTCAGGCTTAATTCAGAGAACTGGATCACTTATCCAATTCCCTAGATCAAGAGCCTCTCACCAGCATCAAGGAACCTTCCTTGAGGGGTTGTAATCACTAATATTAATTAATGGCCAACATTATATATTTAAGTGTTAAATGACCCTTCCGGGTTTAACGCTTTCTATTACAATAGCCAACATATTGTTCATTTATATACTATATGAATGGTCCTAATATTCGCAATGTACACTAAATTTTGTACTACGTAGGTAACGTTCTATACAATATATAATAGAGTTTGTAATTATATACAGTTAGTACAAGTCTCAGCTTTAACTTATCAATGTTTATAAAGCGACCAAAAATATGGAATGACTTACCTGATGAATTAAAGAATTGCAACACAAACTGAAAAAATTGCGTATATAATTAGTCCAGTCATATTTACAGCTTTTATCTCCCTGAAACAATTTTTTTTTTTGAAATTTCAAAAAGTACCAGTCTTTTTTAAATAAATTACAATTTTCCATTTATTGAATAATCTCGTAAATTGGCCTCTAACTATAATTTTTACTTCTTGTAGTGGTCTCTGTGCTAGACTCATCTGCTTAGAAAACTCTACATCTAAGATACAAGAAATATTGGGCATATACTATAAGTTTTTCAAATATTATATTTCTGCATATTGTCAACTTTTGATTTTTTTTTTTAAGAATCTGATTTAGAGAGAAAAGAGGTTTTAACAATAAGAGGCTGACTTTATCAACTATTTCTTTATTAAATGTTATACCTTAAACAAGGTATATGGCGTTATCACAATACAAAATTATACAAATTTCTGTGTTTACACAAAATTAACTGTACAGAAAAGAGAAAATGTTCATATCAAACTATTTACAGAAGAAACGCCTGTCCTGGGACAGGTTGATGCTATGTAGTAGGTACATTTTGATTTGGCGGGGAAGGTGTCAGGTTGACAGCTTGACACTGGAGGCGAAAATCTCATTATTTCACACAGGAAATGAACCAAGTGCGACGGCCTTGCTTGCAGCACATTAAGCCGGGGCAACCTTTGGTAAATATGTAAGATGTATCCACTGGCGGGGTTCCTACTTCTCAAGTATACGATCTCAACAGTCTAACCGGACACTTATCCTTACATGGCATTGCACGAGTTTTTTAATATAAATACAACAAATTCGATATCTTGAAACACTTATAAATAATTAATAATCTATAGTTCATTTTTTCACTGGACGTTTCCCAAGGAAAAATGTGTTGATAGGGCCGAGAGTCAGACCTTCGAAGTAATAATCAATAATTTAACAATCTGTACAACTTCAAAACTGACCAACGCATCAGCAAGCAACCGAGATGTGGTGTAGGAAAGTTGGCACTATCGCTGCCCAGGGAACCAATGCCTGGTAAATGGACTGTTGGGTGGGAGGTTGGCACTGAGTCACCCAGAGGACCAGGGCAATATGTAAAAGATTATATATATATATATATAATATATATATATATATATATATATATATATATATATATATATATATATATATATATATATATATATATATATATATATATATAATATAGTTTAAGTTTGTGTGGGGGAGAGATAGGGGGGGGGCTTGGCACTTTCACCCAAGCTCCTGGGCAACACATTTGGAAATTGACATTGTGTCGCCCAGAGCATCATAACACATACACATTGGCACTGCATCGCCCAGTGGACTGTGACTATGCGTGTGTGATGTTGAGCATCAGCTACACATGCTCTTCCAGTGTACTTGATCCTGTTCATATTTATTGCAGCCATAGTCTGTCAACTGGGCTGGATGTAGGGAAAAGGGGGTGAGGGTAGGTGTAGTTATAAGGGCTGTAGACTGGGTTAGGAGATTTGGCACAATTATTGCCCACTATGTCCATGAGATAACAATTGAACTGTTAACAAATATCGTAGGATATTTTGGCACACTTATGATTCCCGCTAGCCACTGGCCAGCGGCACAAAACACAGGTAAAGGAGTTCCTGGCAGAGAGGAAGAGGAGTAGGCAAGAGAATGTGATTTGGCAGCACACTGATGCAGTTTTTCCGAGGTAATGTTTAATATAAGCCTGGGTACAGGGTAGTCCAAAACAAAGCGTAATCAATTTCAAGAATGACATGTAATGGGAAGATCACAAAGGTCATTTAGAATATATAACCGAGAACTGCATAAGATAATTGTTAACTCTGAAGTTAACTTTTTCCAGGTATACAGTAGAATGTGGTAGTTTACCTGCATCTTATAATACTACGAAATGCTAATTCTTGCCATGGACAAGAAGAAAGAGGCTTTTATATTTTCCAGAGATAGGTGTGAATTTCTTAGAGAAAGAAGATGAGGATGAATGTATGCTTTGTTTTAGCCAGAGGTATCGAGGAGAAGCATACCCTGGAGGAAGTTATGAGGTGAGAAGCAACAGATAGTGAGAGGAAGGTTAGGTGGCAGGAGGGAGCACACACTGCCATCATGGGGTCGTGGGTGTGGTAACTACCTTGGTACTGCGCACACTGCACCAGTAAGAGCGGGTCCCATGGCATCGCATTCCTTATGTGGCACATTTGCTGAAATTTTTTACACTGTAATACAGCCAGGACTTTCATTGTCCGATAGGGCACTCTCACAAAGTCTTAATTTTTATCTTAGTATGAATTATTTATCTGCACTGGGTGTCTATATCTGAAAAAAACCGTGTTATCACTGGAAGACAAATTTGAGTGCACAGCCACAACGACATTAGCTCGATGGCTGAGCGATCACACTAGCACGTTCTTCTCACTACCACAAATGTGTATCATTCACAGGTTATAAACAATCTGCAGTTTTTCTGTATGAGCCGAAACAGTTTTCAGTTCTGGAAAATGACTTGACTGGTACATAACGTCTTTTCTTCCTAATAGACTTTACCAGGTTTAGTGAGACCCGACTGAGTGGAATAATTCACTGCTTAATGTTGCACCAATCAATGAGCTGATGGGCAGGCAGAGATCGAGCCTGAACAGTGGTGTGGTAAGGTAGTGAAATGCCCAGACACACCAGTTGCCCATCGTTATCAACAGTGCTCACTGCTCTATACCAGGTACCATCAACAGTGCTTATTGCTGCACACCAGGTACCATCAACAGTGCTTATTGCTGGACACTAGGCACCATCAACAGTGCTTAATGCTGTACATATGGCACCATCAACAGCATTCACTGTTGCACACAACCACTGCCACGCACCAATACTATCACCGTGTAAAACAATGCCGCAAGGTTCATCCAAGAGCTTCCATCACGAGAGAAACATATGGAGGAATGCACCACTGTTCTCAGTCGTCCTATGCCAGTTTGTTTTATTCTAATACTTAAATATTCACAAATATACACAATATACTCACACAAGGCACCATGCGATTAAGCACATTTGGCAACGTCACACCAATAACTATATCACATTCTTAATTTGCCCACTAACAAGGTGAGTAGAGTCTTGAGTGTTAATGCAGGAGTGACTCCTGCTTGGGATACGACCACCTAGTGAGGGCGCTGGGGCAGGGGCAGGCTGCTGTGGTTATGGTGGTGGGGATGGTGAGGATGGTGGTGATGGTGGTAGTGGTGGTGGTATAGAAGAGGGTATAGTGACGGCTATATCCTGAGTTCTGTTTCTGAGCCTGACGAAGCCCCGGCCATAAGTCCCGCTGGCCCTGGCCGTTGACCAACCGGTCGACCATGGTGTGGAGTGGAGGTGGCTGAAGTCTGAGCAGCAGCAGCAGCAGCGGGAGAAGTTGCATGGCTGACGCTTCCAGGGGTCATTAGGGGTGAGATGGATGGAGAACGGGTGGCCAGGGGAGAAAGGGAGGGGCTGAAGGAGGGAGACATGGCAGGGGAAGTGAAGGAAGACTCATGGCTAATGGGGGAGCGAGGCAGGGAAGGAAGTGTCAGCTGACTAGTGCGCACTGAACTGAGTGCCACGGGTGCGATGGAGCGTGGTGCCACGCTTGTCAGCAGCGGTGGCGGAATTGTCTTCACTTGCGGGTTCAGCGTCTTTTTCATTGGCTCTCGACTGTAATTTGGCGCAGAGTCATCTTTGAGGCGAGCGATTTCAGAGAAAACATGCGCCAGGGGTTGGTATTGAGGACCCCAGTCCAATAAATAGTCCCAGTTGTACGAGCCTTGAAGCTCTTCTTCACTGTGGACAATGGAACTTAATGAGCCTGTCATGGAGGGTTGGCTCTCGTCGCCAAAACCAAATGCCCGGGTGCCATCCATTATGGAGGACTCTTCTTCAGGGGTAACTTCATTTAGCTTAGCATAAATAAGATTACTGATGTCCATGCCATCTGCCTCTCCCCCACCTTCGTCATCAAACATATGCATGCTTTCCATAGAATGTGCCAGATCCTGCGATCCCTTAGTCGACTCGCTCTTGGTGGTATCGATACCAAGCCTTGCCAAGTATTCTTGAGTATTGTGCACTGACACGTCACTCATATTGTCATCATCACGGATGCCTGAGTCAGGGAGGCCAAGTCTCTCCCTCAGCTTCTGCTGCTGGATCAGTGGGCCTTCGTTAATCATACGTATCTCTTCATCTTCCACATCCTCGTTGTCGTCAGCACTTCCCCGTCCACTGCTGGCACTCTGGCTTTGCTCACTCATTTCTGAAGTGGTGTTGCCGTGATGATGGCTACGCTCTCCATGATGATCATAGTGAGGTAGGTCATTATAACGTGGTGGATATTGAGACAAGTCTGCTGGTGCAGTGGGAGGAGGCCGAATATCAATTGTGTCAAATGACGTATCAAATTGGTCAGCCATCGCTGGTTTCCGAGCTCGGAGGTTCCGTCGGTAAAGAAACAAAAATGCCCCACCAAATATTAGCACCAAGAATATGAGTGCAATGAGCAGACCGATGGCCCAGGTAGCGAGACCTCCAGAGTCTTGACCACCCGTGGGTGAGGGCGTCGTATTGTTCCAGGTGCCATTCCTACCCCCAACACTCACCTCAGCCACAGCAACAGCACGGAGAGACCCCACCAACCCTGATGTGGCAACCACTTCTAGACGTGTCAACCCTTCCTCCCGGACACCAGCACGTCGCACTGTGATCTCTCCAGATGTTCGGTTAATCTTAAATGTATTGGACGATGTACGGAGTGAGTAAAAGACTCGGCCGTCAGGACCCTCGTCTTTGTCAGTGGCTTCCACACGACCCACTACCATCCCAACCTCCATGTTGGCCGCTATAGCAAAGTAGTAATTACGTTCCAAGAATTCTGGTGCAAACTCATCTTGGCTGTCCACATTGACCTGTACTGTGACCACTGAAGACTTACCTCCTGCATCAATAGCACGGAGTAAAAAGGAATATGCTTGTTTGGCCTCGTAGTCAAACACTGCTTTGGTGACAACAACACCTGTTTTGTAGTCCACGCTAAACTTATCCATGTCCTTTCCTCCAGGAATGGAATAATTGAGTGAACCATACTGTCCCCTGTCAGCATCGTTGGCATGGGCAGTGAACACTGAGGTACCAACGGGAGAATTCTCAGCCACAAACTCCAAGTACTTGTCGACGGGAAACTGTGGAGCGTTGTCGTTTTCATCTTCCAGAGTGATGTGCACAGTGGCCAGGGCTGACAGAGGATGATGACGGCTGCTGTCAGTAGCTCTGACGATGAAACGATACTCAGCCACAGTGTCATAGTCAAGAGCTTCGCGCAGTGTGATCACGCCAGTCTCAGAATCCAAAGCAAACACTTGATGATCGTTACCAGATGTAATGTCATAGTTGATGCGAGCGTTGTCGCCAGTATCATTATCAGATGCTAGCACCTGGAGCACTGAGGCACCAAGACTCAGTGACTCACTGACAGTAAGAGCGTATTCGCTTTGGTTGAAGGAGGGAGAGTGGTCATTGACGTCATCGACCGTAATGATTACTTCAGCTGTGGCATTCCTGGATGGGCGGCCTCTGTCAGTGGCTAGAGCTATCAGGTGGAACTCGGCCACATCTTCGCGATCCAGGGGCTTCACCAGCAGGATCTCCCCGGTGCTGCTAGTAATCTGGAAGGCACCGAGTTCATTGCCACCCACCAGTCGGTAGTCAATGTTGCGGTTGTGACGAGACTCGTCCATGTCAGAGGCAGAGACACGGGTAACAGGATGGCCACGAGATGCATCCTCGCTCACGTGGGCTCTGTCGATATAAATAGAAAAACTTAAGACACTGCACCCATCTTGTATTTAAATGAAGTATATGACTGCATTTACTTTTCACCCACACGGGTTTAACATTGCACAGAAGACAAATATGGTCCTGAGCACATCCTACAGCAATTAATGTAATATCATATCAGAGAGGTTAAATTTTACTCAAGAAGTTATACAATTAAGGCTACAGTTGTTATGCGAGTCACCACACAAGTGCTCAAGTGCCTGAATATAAGGTGGAATATACGTATATTTAAGCCCAGAGTGCACATTAAACATCAAGGTTTATGCTTCAGGTCAAGATGTATACTATAGTACTAAGACATACTTTCTAAACCATTCAAGGCTTATGACATAAGGCCTATGACATATACTAAAGCTCTGTGATATATATTCAAGACCTGTGATATATATTCAAGACCTGTGATATATATTCAAGACCTGTGATATATATTCAAGACCTGTGATATATATTCAAGACCTGTGATATATATTCAAGACCTGTGATATATATTCAAGACCTGTGATATATATTCAAGACCTGTGATACATAGTCAAGACCTACGACATAAAGATAAAGATTTTATTTCTTTGCAAAGGGGCATTTCAGGCAAATTAATCCTAATACTTAAAAACTACAAGTCTAGACAGATAAGAGTGGTTAATATTTAATTATTCATTATTTTATCCTATGAATAATAAGATATTTTATATTATTTTTATATTATTAGATTAAACCTAGTTGTACTATAGCTCATTCTAGCTCAATACATAGACGATACCAAAGTCATTACATTAGACCTTAGTGCAATTACAAGTGAGAGTCTTGTGCTATTTTTAATTTGTATTTTTATATTATTAGTTTATACCTAGTTGTACTTTAGCTCATTCCAGCACAACACATAGACAATACCAACTCCATTATGTGTATTAGTGACTATACTCTACATGACCAAAATGCTATAGCTATACACTTGTCCAAACTTCCCACCACTACAGATATCAGTACTAAAACTCAACCCACAACCTCAGGATATAAATAACCATAATTTAAACTAGAAGATGATTGATCACGTTGACCCTGATCTAAACCTCCATAATCTGACACATAATCAAAACTATTGGAAAGTAAATGCCTTTACTACACAGCATCACAAGCCAGCTATCCTAAACAATTGCTAAAAGTCTATCAGTACTTAACTACAACATTAGGTCCTTAAGCAAACACTATGATGACCTCCTGGCACTCCTTGAATCACTAAAGACACCCTTCTCCTGCATTATTCTTACTGAGACCTGGCTTAGCAGGACATAATAGATATCTACCCTCTACCAGGATACACAGCAATCCACAACTGCAGACCATACCAAGTTGGGGGTGGTATTGCAATCTATTACTCTAACTAATTATCTTGTATTAGCACCACTTGCTTTAGTGATGAATATGGAGAATACATTTTTGCTAATTTTACTGTAAAAAACCTTAAGACGCCTATAACAATCGGTGCCATTTACCGGATACCCCACACAAACATCCCAAATTTCAGTGAGAAACTAAAGGCACTAATAACAGACAAATGAATAAGCACCACCTTCTCTTAGCTGGAGACTTCAACATCAACCTTGGCTTACTAGATGATCAGCCTGCAACTGATTTCATCAACAATATGAACAACACACTTCTCATACAAACAATAACTAAACCAACCAGGCTCACTGAAACGAGTGCAACCATAATAGACCACATATGGACCAATATACTAGCCCCCCTTAAATCAGGGATAATCACAGATAGCACTACAGACCACTACCCTACCTTCCTCTTGACAAACATTAGTAAACCACCACTTGAATACAACAAAGTTTCATTTAGACTCCATGATGAGGCCTCAATAAGGAAGTTCACAGCTGACCTAGAGACTGTTGACTGGCCTACAGAATTCTCCAAGGCCAATGGTATTGACGACTGGACAGACATTTTTCTTAACAAATTACTTAGACTATACAACAAACATTGTCCTATAAAAAACGAACAGATCACAAACAAACGGCTTGGTTGCCCATGGCTAACCAGCACCATTCTGAAATCCATTGATAAGAAACACCAACATGAAAAGCAATATAGACAGGGCTTAATACACAAAGATATTCTTAAACACTGTTCATCAGTCCTCACCAAAGTAATAAAGAAAGCCAAACAACTATACTACTCCAGTAGATTCACTGACACAAGAGATATAAAAAAAGACCTGGAAAACACTCTCAGATTCTAGGGACCCAAAAACTGAAAAAAACAAGAATATTGCCCTAACTAAACCTAATGAAACACCACTGCATCCCACTGACACAGCTAACAAGATAAACGACTTCTTCTCAACCATAGGTTCTAATCTCGCCAATAAAATCCCAAGCACCAATGCCCATGCCGGGGACTACCTAGATGGGAATTTCCCAAATTCCTTCTATCTTGCTCCAACTGAGCCCATGGAAGTCACCGAGATTATAAAGTCACTTAAAAATAACTCGGGGAATCTGTCTCATGTCCCACCATTATTGTACAAGAGAGCAGCCCATGTCCTCTCGCATGCTATCTCTCATTACTTTTTAACAAGTCACTAGAAACTAGCACCTTCCCGAAAACTACTCAAGACGGCAAGGGTTACACCAATACATAAAGGTGGTGACCCTACAGATTTAAAACAACTATAGGCCAATATCAAACTTACCATTGTTATCCAAAAAACTTTGAGAAACTCGTGCACAGGAGACTATATTCATTTATAACGTCACAAAACATACTCAACCCCTGCCAATTTGGATTCAGGAAAAATAAAAGCACTAATCGATGCAATCATAAAAATGCTAGATCTGCTTTACACAGCATTGGAAAATAAGGAATATCCACTAGGAATTTTTATTGACCTAAGAAAAGCTTTTGACACAGTAGACCACGGCATCCTACTCCACAAACTTGACCATTATGGTATAAGAGGCCATGCGCTTGCATATTTCAAATCTTGCCTTACTAATAGGTATCAGTATGTCACCATTAAAGACACAGCATCAACAACACAGCCACTTGATACTGGAGTTCTGCAGGAAGTGTCCTTGGTCCCCTGCTCTTCTCATATACATCAATGATCTTCCAAACGTATCTCAACACCTGAACCCCATTCTCTTTGCTGACGACACGACTTATGTCATCTCTCACCCTAATCTTGCCACCCTCAACACCATTGTTAATGACGAGCTGATCAAAATATTGACTTGGATGACAGCCAATAAACTTACGCTTAACACTGACAGAACCTACTACATTATGTTTGGTAGCAGAGCAGGAGATGCGCAAATTAACATTAAGATCGACAACACTCTAATTGCCAGGCATAATGAGGACAAATTCCTAGGCCTATACCTCGACAACAACCTGCACTTCAGCACCCATATCCAACACAACCAAAAAAGTATCCAAAACGGTTGGGATCCTCTCCAAGATACGATACTATGTGCCGCAAACTGCCCTTCTCACACTATATTCATTCACTTATATACCCATACTAGGTATGTATATGTGCTTGGGGATCAACTGCAGCAACACACCTAAAGCCAATAATAACCCAACAAAAAGCCGCAGTAAGAATAATCACTAAATCCCATCCCTGGCAACACCCCCCCCACTCTTCATAGATCTAAACTTACTCCCTGTTCAGTACATCCACACTTACTACTGTGCAATCTACATCTACAGGACCTTAAATTCCAATATTAACCTTGACCTAAAACGCTTTCTAGATAGTTGCGACAGAACCCACAGGCACAATACCAGACAACCATCTCTATGACATTCCCCGCGTCCGACTAAACCTTTAAAAAAAATTCAATGTATGTCAAAGGCCCTAAAATCTGGAACACCTACCTGAAAATTCTAAAACTGCAGACACATCATCACCTTCAAACTACCATCAGAAAATATCTTATTCCCTGATACACCCTGTCAACTAATTACACGAATACCACCTGGTGGTTAACATTTTACACTCATCACCCATTTGACCATAAACAGAAAAATCAATCTCAATCTCAAAATAATGAATCTTAACTAGTCATAAGTTGGCCTGTGATACTCCAATACTGAAACTATGTATAGTGCCAAAACAAAAGCATTCACATTGCTAAACTCACAAACTAGTTTTTAGTCACTTAGCCCTAATACCAACTTACCTCATAATTTTGTAATATTTTAAACTTAAGATTTAATTTAAGTCTGCCCGAAATGCCTAGCCATGCTAGGTGTTCTAGTGGTACACTCTGTAATTATTATTTTACTACATGTAAACAATACAATAACCAAATTCTGTAAACTCAGCATTGTAATCCTTATAGAGAATAAACTTTGAATTTGAATTTAAATTTGAATTTATGGATAATAACCTTGATGTAGCACATAACTAATAACAATATTTCAAGTAACATAATTAATCATGGTACAAACAGTACTATTTTAAGTATGAGTTGATGTTTTAATAAACTAGAGATATATAATATTTGATCAATTAATACTGATTAAATGATTTAGCACAGTGATGGTTTGGTTAATCTTGAGAGATGAGATGATTTTTAAGTATAGCCCTAAATCTGTATGCAGGCTGGAGACCTTTTGTATCTTCGGGTAATGAATTCCAGATCTTTGGGCCCTTTATGTGTATTGTATTTTTGCATAGTGCGAGACGGACACGAGGGATGTCAACAAGTGTTTTGTGCCTTGTGTTGTGATTGTTCTATTATAGCTATCAAGGAAGTCCAAGTGAAGGGTTCATATTGGAGTTTAATGTTCTGTATGTATAGTAGGCACAATAATATGAGTGTATTCTTGTATATTTAGCAAATTCAAGCTTTTGAAGAGTGATGGGGTGTGTTGTGTGGCACAAAAGTTGGTGATCAACCGCGCATCAGCTTTTTGTTGGGTTATTAAAGGTTTAAGGTGAT